TTTCTCCCTGTTAAAATTCATCTTGTTTGTTTTGGCCCAGTTCTCTAATCTGTCAAGGTCGTTTTGAAGTGTGATCCTGTCCTCTGGGGTGTTAGCCACCCCTCCCAATTTGGTGTCATCTGCAAATTTGATCAGGATGCCCTTGAGTCCATCATCCAAGTCGTTGATAAAGATGTTGAATAAGACCGGGCCCAAGACAGAACCCTGTGGCACCCCACTAGTCACTCTTCTCCAGGATGAAGAGGAACCATTGATGAGCACCCTTTGGGTTCGGTCAGTCAGCCAGTTACAAATCCACTGAGTGGTAGCATAGTCAAGACCACATTTTACCAGCTTCTTTACAAGAATATCATGAGGCACCTTGTCAAATGCCTTGCTGAAATCAAGGTAGGCTACATCCACTGCGTTCCCTTCATCTACCAGGCTTGTAATTCTGTCAAAAACGAGATCAGGTTAGTCTGACATGACTTATTTTTCAGAAATCCATGCTGACTATTGGTGATCACAGCATTCCTTTCTAGGTGCTCACAGACTGTTTGCTTAATGATCTGCTCCAGAATCTTCCCTGGTATTGATGTCAGACTGACTGGGCGGTAATTATTTGGGTCCTCACTTTTCCCCTTTTTGAAAATAGGGACAACATTTGCCCTCCTCCAGTCTGCCGGGACTTCGCCTGTTCTCCAGGAATTCTCAAAGATGACTGCCAGTGGTTCTGAGATCACATCTGCCAGTTCTTTTAATACTCTTGGATGCAGTTCGTCTGGCCCTGGAGACTTGAATACATCTAAACTAGCCAAGTATTCTTCTACTATCTCCTTAGTTATTCTGGGCTGTGTTTCCTTTGCTGAATCATTTGCTCCAAATTCTTCAGGTCGGGCATTGTTTTCTTTATCGGAGAAGACTGAGGCAAAGAAGGCATTGAGGAGTTCAGCTCTTTCTGTGTCCCCTGTTTGCATTTCACCATCTTCTCCTCTGAGTGACCCCACTGTTTCTTTGTTCTTCCTTTTGCTACGGACATACCCATAAAAGCCTTTTTGTTGCTTTTAACCTCTCTAGCAAGCCTGAGTTCATTCTGTGCTTTAGCTTTTCTGACTTTGTGTCTACACGTGCTGGCTATTTGTTTGAATTCCTCTTTGGTGGTTCCCCCTTTTCCATTTTTGTACACATCCTTTTTAATCTTAACTCAGTTAAAAGTTCTTTAGATAGCCACCCTGGCTTCTTTAGGCACCTTCCATGTTTCTGTCTCATTGGTATTGCCTGACGTTGTGCTTTTACTATCTCCCTCTTAACAAACTCCCAGCCATCATGAACTCCCTTTCCTTTTAGTATTACTGTCCATGGGATCTCACCCAGCACTTCCCTAAGTTTTATGAAGTCAGCTTTCTTAAAGTCAAGAAATTGAGTCCTAGTATGCTTGGCTGCTCCTTTCCGCTGTATAGTAAACTTCAGAAGAGCATGATCACTCGCACCTAATGATCCTTCCACTTCTACCCCACTAACCAGGTCATCAACATTGGTTAGGACCAGATCTAAAATGGCTGTTCCTCTTGTTGCTTCTCCCACTTTCTGGACAATGAAGTTGTCTGCAAGGCCAGTGAGGAATCTGTTTGACCTTCTGCTCTTGGCTGAGTTTGACATCCAACAAATATCCGGGTAATTGAAGTCCCCATTACTACTATCTCCCTTCCTTTTGCATGCTTGGCCATCTGTTCCAGGAAGGCATCATCTATGTCCTCCGTTTGGCTTGGGGATCTATAGTAAACTCCCACAATGAGGTCACTGTTACACTGTCACACTCAGAAGTTTTGTCCAAAGACTGGAAATAAACAAAGGAAGAAGCCAGCAGATGGCAAGAAGCAGAGGGGGGGTGGAAAGCCCAAGCCAGGGAAAAACAATGCTTTGTTTGCTGGCACAGCCTCACCAAAGGCTAAAGGCAAGTCTGATGGCCAGGAGCAGGGGGGCAAGCTGCAAAAGCCCACGCCGGTGGAAAACAAGGTTTTGCTTGCCAGAAAGGCTGCTCCAAAAGCCAAAGCCAGGTTTGTTGTTGATTCAGGCTGTACCCGCCATGTCTCAAAAGACCGCCACCTATTTATCTCCTTCAAACCTCAAGAAGGTGAGATCCACCTGGCTGACGGAAAGACGTTGCGAATTGCAGGAGAAGGGACTGTGAAACTGGCAAGTCTGCACACGACCATCAAAGATGTACTATATGTTCCAGGTGCTGCAGACAATTTGCTCAGTGTCCCACAGCTGACTGGGCGTGGTTTTGAGATTTCCTTCAAGAGGAGCGTCTGTGTCATCAGAAAAGGCAAAGAGGACATTTTGCATGCAAAGTTTATGGATGGCTTGTTCTGTATAACTTATGATGACATTGGTGCTGTTGTGTCTAATGTTGATTCTTGTTGTGTTGCACAAACTAACAAAGTTCTTCATGCAGGATGCATTCACGATGCACATCGGAGGTTTTGCCACCTCTCTTGGAAGGCACTGGCCAAGATGCCAGAGATGGTTGAGGGTTTGAACATCAAACCCTGTAAGTTTCACATGAAATGTGTATCTTGTGCAGAGAACAAGGTGAAGGTGGCTCCAAACGGCAAGGAGTCTAGCAGGCAGGCGTCCAAACCCCCCCAGCGAGTGCACGCAGCCCGGGTTGGTCCACTTGCGCCCTCTTTGGGTGGAGCAAGGTACTACATGGTTCTAATTGATACTTTGTCCAGGTACATTCATGTGTTTATGCTCGAGCAGAAATCGCAAGCGTTTCCGAAGTTCAAGGCATTCTGTGCTTGGTTGGAGAATGTTCACGGTAAACGCATTGGTTGTTTGTTTACTGATCGAGGCGGGGAGTTCACTTCTCAGCAGTTTGAAGCTTTCTTGACTGAGAAGGGAATCCAGCATGACTTGTCAACGCCTAGATCGCCATGGATGAATGGGCTTATGGAGCGAGCAAATCAAACGTTGCTGCAAGGGATGAAAACATTGTTGCATGATGCCAATCTCCTGATAAGTATTGGGTGAGGCTCTGTCGTATTTTGCTTACACTTATTTTCTGAGTTTTTCATCTCTTATTGGTTGTACTTCCTATGAGAAGATGTTTGGTAAGAAACCCAACATCAAACACATGAGAATCTTTGGTTCTGACATGTGGGTACACACCCCACAGAGCAACAAGCTTGGGAAGCGTGGGGCACATGGTTTGTTCATGGGGTACGAAAAAGGTGCAGACAGGGTATGGATGACTGACTCTAAGTCCATTAAGTTCACAAAGAGTGTGGAGTACAATCCTAAGTGGGGGGAAAATGTGGGAATTTTCCAGAGTTACCCAGAGGAGGATGAAGGTGATGTCAAACAAGCAGCTAAAGCTGAGGAAGCTGCTAAGGATGATGATGATGATGATGATGATCAGAGTTCGGATTCCAGTTCAGTGGGCGGCGCTGCTGCTGATGTCGGTGACAGTGATGACACAGCAGACTACAAGAGCTCAAAGGCCTCAGTCAGACCATCTGATGCGTCTGACAATGAACTGGAAGAACCACTGTTCACCATTGGTCACCTTTCTCCTAAGAAGGAGGAGATGAGTCCAGAAGACTTGCGTCTAGTACGCAGATCTGAAAGAGCCACAAAGGGCAGACCTCCAAAGAGATTTGCTGATGAGTTTGCTAAGACAGCAACTGCTGTTCTTAGTAGCTCAGAGAAGGTATGGGAACCTTCAAGCTTCAAAGAGGTTCAGGAGTTAACCTCTAAAGATGCTGAGCCTTGGCTAAATGCCATGAAGGCTGAAGTTGATTCCTTGAACAGGAACCAAACTTGGGAGCTGGTTCCGGTAGTCCCAGGGATGAGACTGGTTGGCAGCAAATGGGTCTTCAAGGCCAAGACAGACCAGAATGGCAAAGTTATCAGACACAAAGCCAGATTGGTTGCCAGAGGTTTTTCACAGGTACCAGGACAGGATTACCACGAGACCTATTCACCCACCGTCAAATATGAGAGCATTCGGCTGATGCTCAAGATAGCTGCGGAGGAGAAACTGCATGTTTCCCATCATGACATTAATACAGCTTTTTTTGTACGGGATTCTGGGGGAGGAGCTGTTTATGCTTCCACCTGATGGGATGCAGATACAGAAGGGAATGGTCTGTAAACTGCGGAAATCCTTGTATGGTCTCAAGCAGAGTGCCAGGTGTTGGAACACGAAACTCACTGAGACGTTGCTTTCTCTAGGTTTTCACCAGGGCAAAGCTGATCCGTGTGTGTTTGTCAAGGAGGAGGGCAAAACAAACTGTATTGTTTATGTTTTGTTGATGATCTTCTGATGTTTTGGAAGAATCAGGCTTTCTACCAAAGCACCCTAGCTCAGCTGAAGGAGCACTTTGACATGAAGGATCTTGGTGAGGTATCCAACTATCTTTCTCTGCAGGTGGAGAGGGACCAAGCAGGTACTTTTCTGGTACACCAAACACAGAAAATTGCTGATGTTTTAACCAGGTTGAATTTGGTTGATGCGAACCCAGCAGACACACCGATGGTGACAGGTTACCAGGTAGACAGTACTGCTGAAGCGTTTTCTGACACTACGTTGTACAGATGCATTCTAGGCAATTTGAATTTCATTGCTAGATGCTCAAGACCTGACATTGCTGTAAGCTGTAACCTGCTTAGCAGACATGCCAACAATCCTACTGTTCAGGATTGAAAGCTCTGAGCGCATAGCCCGCTATCTGAAAGGGACTATGCACTACAGGCTGAGGTTCACCAGTCAGAAGACTGGAGGTCTTGAAATCTTTGCAGATGCAAGTTTTGGAAGTGACACCACGGATGGTACAAGCACTTCTGGAGTATGCTACATGTACAACCACTGTCTGTTTGACTGGCTGTGCAAGAAGCAGACGACAGTGAGCCTAAGTTCCTGTGAAGCAGAACTCAATGCTCTGTCATTTTCACTCATGGATTGTGAATGGTTGATGCAACTGTTTAAGGACATCAGAGTTTCTGTGAAATGTCCTGTACAAGTGTATCAAGACAATAGATCGTGTTTGGCTTTGCTGAACTCGGAGAGTTGCAAGCAAAGGACCAAGTACTTGCAGGTTAAGCTACATCGTGCAAGAGAGTGTATTCAGAAAGGACTCATTCAGGTGTCCTACATGGCAGGAAATGAAATTCCTGCTGATCTGTTGTCTAAGGTTGTTAACAGAGAACAACTTAAGGTTTATGTACAAAGGTTGCAATTGGGTTGAACCACAGGTACTACAGGTTACACGGAAAGGGGGAGGATGTTAGGATATTTCCGTTCCACCTTAAAAGGGAGCAGGCTTTGTGAGTCAGAGTCTGCGTATTTCCTGTTCACAGGATGTTTATGTTTTCTGTTGCTTTCGTTTTCTCTCTGTGTCACAGACACTAAAAGCAGTCAGTCATGTTTTTCTGTGTTCTGATCAACGCTGAATAAACTTGAAAATAATGCTCTCCTGATTGCAACTTTTGGCTGTGCATTATCTGCTGATAGAGCGTGCATGAGCTCGAGAATGTGGCAAGATATTTTCTAGAAACTCATGTCGCTGCGTGCCTACGGGAGGTCGATGGATCGTCCGGCAGACGGCTTGGGGGCCTTGATGGACTTTATCTCCCTGGCAGTATCCCAACAGGTTTGGGCCCCTTTTGCATCAATTACTGCCTCAATGCAGCGTGGCATGGATGCAATCAGCCTGTGGCACTGCTGAGGTGTTATGGAAGACCAGGATGCTTCAATAGCAGCCTTCAGCTCTTTCGCATTGCTCGGTCTCATGTCTCTCATCTTTCTCTTGGCAATGCCCCACAGATTCTCTATGGGGTTCAGGTCAGGCGAGTTTGCTGGCCAATCAAGCACAGTAATCCCATGGGCATTGAACCAGGTTTTGGTACTTTGGGCAGTGTGGACAGGTGCCAAGTCCTGCTGGAAAATGAAGTCAGCATCCCCATAAAGCTCGTCTGCGGAAGGAAGCATGAAGTGCTCCAAAATCTCCTGGTAGACGGCTGCGTTGACTCTGGACTTAATGAAGCACAGTGGACCAACACCAGCTGATGACATGGCTCCCCAAATCTCTTTTCTGATGAGAGCAGCTTTCGGATCTCATTTGGAAACCATGGACCCAGAGTCTGGAGGAAGAATGGGGAGGAACACAATGTCAGATGCTTGAAGTCCAGTGTGAAGTTTCCACAGTCTGTGTTGATTTTCCATGATATTCTAATTTTCCGAGTTTCACCTGTATAATTTGAGACAGATTCCAAGTCCGTTCCTTGTTTTGGCAGGAGCGTTATATACGCTTGAGTCCAAGAGTCTGGAATATTCCCCTTCTCTACCGCTTCCTCTATTACTTCTTTTAGTGGGTCGATTAATTCATTTAACATTTCTTTATAGTATTCTGCTGGTATGCCGTCTGGACCTGGGGACTTTCCTATTTTTAATTTTTGAATTAATTCCTTGATTTCTACGGTTGATATTGGTTCATTCAATAGTTTTTAGTCTTTTTCTGCTATCTCTACTAATTTATTTTTCTTTATATGTTCCTCTGTTTCTTCTATTGACACTTCATCTTTCTGATATAATTTTTTATAATATTTTTCAAATTCTTTTTTAATTTCTGTAATATCCCTTATTGCCCTCTCTTCTACTTTTATCTTATTTATTAATTTTTCATTTCTTTGTTTCTTTAATTGCCAGGCAAGGATTTTGCCTGGTTTATTTGCCCATTCAAAGTTTTTATATTTCCAGAATTTAATTTGTTGTTCTACCTCCTGTTCTATAATTTTATTATATTTTACTCTCAGTAATTGAGTTTCTTGATTTAATCTCTCTTTATTTTTGCTTGCATAGGCTATTTTTTCCTTCCTTTTAATTTCTTCTAAAAGCTTCCTTTTCTTTTTTTCTTTATTCATATATGCTATTGAGTTTTGTTGTATGAAATATCCCCTAACAACTGCCTTCCCAGCATCCCACACTGTTTTTACATCTGTCCCTTTCCTCCAATTGTTTTCAAAATGTTCCTTCATCAATTTTCTGGCTCCTTGTATTACTTTTTGGTTTTTTAATAGGAAAACATTCATTCTCCACCTTTTTTCCCCTTTCTCCTCTTTTCCTTTAAGAGTTAATGATACTGGATTATGATCTGTAAGTGTTTTTGGTAATATTTCGGCATTCTCTGCTTTAATTGTCATATCCTTAGTAATCCATATACTGTCAATTCGGCTATACAATTTTTTTGGTTCTGAGAAATAAGTGAACTCCTTTTCGACAGGATATTTATATCTCCATATATCAACTAAATCAAAAATCTTTACCATTTCCACAAAACTTTTTGGCAGCTTCCCTTCATTTTCCCCTCTCTTCTTCTGCGATCTGTCCAATTCCAGTTCCATTACTCCATTTTAATCACCTAACACAATAATTCTCATATCTATATAGTCCATTAATAATGATCTTACTTTAACATAGAATTCTGATTTTCTTTTGTGTGATCCATAGATTCCCGCTACCACAATTGGTTCTCCCTCTAGTGATATTTTGACCATTACAATCCTCCCCTCTTTATCTTCATATAGCAATTCTGGTTCGTATTTGCTTTTAACATACATTACAACCCCCCTCTTTTTTCTTACATCACATGCGATGAATTCTTCCCCTAACTTTGGTTTTACCAATAATCTTTTATGCTTAATATTAGAAGTAGCGATCTACGACAAATAAAAGAAGAACAAATGAAGACTTTAAATATCCAAATAGTAGTGCAAGAACTGCTAGAGGTAAAAAAAGGGTCAAAAAATGGAAAGTCACCAGGCCCCGATGGACTTACGGCAAAATATTACAAAAAATTTAGCGAGCAATTAGTGAACCCATTGAAAGGTGTCATGAATGAGATATTAAATACAGGTGAAATTTCAGAAACATGGAAAGAGGCCTTTATTACAGTAATTCCAAAGCAAGATTCAGATCTGCTGCAAATTAAAAATTATAGGCCTATGTCCTTGTTAAATAATGATTACAAACTGTTTGGAAAAATATTAGCTAATAGACTGAAAAAAACAATAAATGTGTATATACATCAAGATCAGGCAGGATTTCTCCCAGGCAGACAAATGAAGGAGAATATAAGGAATATTCTGAACATGATAAAATACCTGGAGGTAAAAAATGAAAAGAAAGCAGCAATGATGTTCATAGATGCTGAAAAGGCTTTTGATAACATCTCTTGGAAATTCATGACTAGGTTACTTGAAGAAATAAAATGTGGTTCCAAATTTTTAAAAAGAATATTAGCAATTCACTCAGAACAAAAAGCAAAATTAATTATAAATCAGGTGATAATGAACGAATGTAAAATACAAAAAGGAACCAGACAAGGATGTCCACTATCACCATTGTTGTTCATACTGGTACTGGAAGTACTTGCCAGAAATATAAGAGCAGGTAAAGAGATCATTGGTGTAAAAACTGGGAAAAGTGAGTTTAAATTAAAAGCATATGCTGATGATTTAGTGATAACTGTGGAAGACCCAAAAAACTCACTTCCTAAAGTTATAGAAAAGATTCAGAAATTTGCGGAGGTGGCAGGATTTAAGTTAAATAGGAATAAAACAAAACTATTTGTTAAAAATCTAAAAGAAGAAGAAAAAATAATTGGAGCAAAATACTGAGATAGAAGTCCATAAAAAGGTTAAGTATTTAGGGATTTGGTTAACATCAAGAAATATAAATCTTTATAAGAATAATTACGAAAAAGTTTGGCTTGAGATAAAAAGAATTTTAGAAATATGGAGCAGAATGAATCTCTCACTGTTAGGAAAAATAGCAGCGGTTAAAATGAATGTGTTGCCAGAAATGCTATTTCTTTTCCAGTCAGTCCCAGTAATTGTGAAAGATGAATGTTTTAAAAAATGGCAGAAGGAAATTTCCAAGTTTATTGGGGGGGGGGCAAAAGGCCAAGGATAAAACATAAGATACTTACAGACATCAAAGAAAGAGGCCAAGATACTGCCAGGGAGATAAAGTCCATCAAGGCCCCCAAGCCGTCTGCCGGACGATCCATCGACCTCCCGTAGGCACGCAGCGACATGAGTTTCTAGAAAATATCTTGCCACATTCTCGAGCTCATGCACGCTCTATCAGCAGATAATGCACAGCCAAAAGTCGCAATCAGGAGAGCATTATTTTCAAGTTTATTCAGCGTTGATCAGAACACAGAAAAACATGACTGACTGCTTTTAGTGTCTGTGACACAGAGAGAAAACGAAAGCAACAGAAAACATAAACATCCTGTGAACAGGAAATACGCAGACTCTGACTCACAAAGCCTGCTCCCTTTTAAGGTGGAACGGAAATATCCTAACATCCTCCCCTTTCCGTGTAACCTGTAGTACCTGTGGTTCAACCCAATTGCAACCTTTGTACGTAAACCTTAAGTTGTTCTCTGTTAACAACCTTAGACAACAGATCAGCAGGAATTTCATTTCCTGGCATGTAGGACACCTGAATGAGTCCTTTCTGAATACACTCTCTGCACGATGTAGCTTAATCTGCAAGTACTTGGTCCTTTGCTTGCAACTCTCCGAGTTCAGCAAAGCCAAACACGATCTATTGTCTTGATACACTTGTACAGGACATTTCACAGACACTCTGATGTCCTTAAACAGTTGCATCAACCATTCACAATCCATGAGTGAAAATGACAGAGCATTGAGTTCTGCTTCACAGGAACTTAGGCTCACTGTCGTCTGCTTTTTGCACAACCAGTCAAACAGGCAGTGGTTGTACATGTAGCATACTCCAGAAGTGCTTGTACCATCCATGGTGTCACTTCCAAAACTTGCATCTGCAAAGATTTCAAGACCTCCAGTCTTCTGACTGGTGAACCTCAGCCTGTAGTGCAAAGTCCCTTTCAGATAGCGGGCTCTGCGCGTCAGAGCAGACCAATCCTGAACAGTAGGATTGATAGCATGTCTGCTAAGCAGGTTACAGCTTACAGCAATGTCAGGTCTTGAGCATCTAGCAATGAAATTCAACTTGCCTAGAATGCATCTGTACAGCGTTGGGTCAGAAAACGCTTCAGCAGTACTATCTACCTGGTAACCTGTCACCATCGGTGTGTCTGCTGGGTTTGCATCAACCAAATTCAACCTGGTTAATACATCAGCAATTTTCTGTGTTTGGTGTACCAGAAAATTACCTGCTTGGTCCCTCTCCACCTGCAGAGAAAGATAGTTGGATACCTCACCAAGATCCTTCATGTCAAAGTGCTCCTTCAGCTGAGCTAGGGTGCTTTGGTAGAAAGCCTGATTCTTCCAAAACATCAGAAGATCATCAACAAAACATAAACAATACAGTTTGTTTTGCCCCTCCTCCTTGACAAACACACA